CAATTCTCAGTCATTTTTGTTCAAACATTCTTCCTACAGTGCATATGTTGTTTCTTTATCATTTTATTTCTGTCTTATTACTTTGTGTACTTTTTGGAACCGCTGTGACCTTTTGATTTGATGCATTTTTCAAAAAAAGGTCCTATTTCAATCTGTTGGGATAATCTTGTATTTTGTATGCCTAGTCATCGCCTTCCTCGACCAACGGGCAATGTTAGCTGATATAGGGCCAGACTGGAAAAGAGCTAGCGGCGTTCAAACCAAAACATGGCCTCACCAGTCAATGAAATCTACAACAGTTAGTCTAAGCCAGCCACGTAGGAAGGTGTAGACTTCCTGGTTGAGGTCCTCGAGACGGAAAAAAACAATGGTTGGAAACAATTGGTGACATGGCTCTAAGTGATCGTTCTCAATGGCTAGCGCAGATGCATCCACTCCTTGTGACTTATGATTTCCAATTAAACTTTTGTTCTTCGTTATTACTATTTCTTTGTCTGACACCTCTGTTTACTGTCTCTAATATGCATTTCTGCTACTTTCTTCTCTTTCTTTGTGTGGTACAAGGAGGGAGTGTGGCGACTTGAACTGGTGAACATATGTGCAAAGTTCTATGTCGAAAACCGACCGAATCTTGTATTTATCTCTAAAAAAAGAAAAGAAAACACGCAAGCATCTTTGTTATGGTTAATTCATTTGGGGTGTTTCAATTTCAGTTTGATTATGTAATGATGGCTAACCTCATATTACCGTCTCACGTAGTATATGGCGTATGGTATAATTATCAAGTTTAGGTCTGAAGATTTTAGGCGATAAATTTATCAGTATTTCTTTTATTGAAATTACGCGAATTACATGTTGAGTTATGCTGTGTGTGTGTGTGTTGCATGGTAGTCGTGCTTGTGAGTTTCCAAATGAACAAGAAACTTCTACTCTCCAACATCTTATTAACAGGAAGAGTCTATGTCCGGTGTATAGTTTGATAATTATGTCGTACACCTGTAAAAGTTATATATTGATGCATTCACATTGATGATTAGTAGACTGACTAACTGGTTTCAACATAGAAGTTTATAATAATAATAATAATTTGCTTTATTCCAAAACAGTACTTGTGATACAGAATGGAATTCTCAGCATTTTACTACTGCAGCATTGCATCCAGTTAGTACATTATCAAGAAATAAAATTCTACATGGATTATGGGTAATCTCAGTTAGTTTTGACAACAACATATTAGCATATCGGTAACAAATCCAAAATTGAACAGTGTTTGAAGGTGTTAGAAAAGTAGACGGTAGCATATTTACTGGCGTAAGCGGCAACAAAAAGGTCGAGATATACAGAGTGTAAAAGAACGAAGAAGAATGTTTTAAGTAGAGTTTGTAAGGAAGAGAGAAACAAAGCAACATATAACAGAAAAAAAGAGAGAAAAGGAAAAGAAAGGAAGAAAACGTTGTACCTATGAATGATATGAGTTGGAAAGATGAGATCCAGTTGTTTTACTGACTATTTAATAAGTTATAGGTATCACGCCTAATGCTTTCTTCATCGCACAAAACACGAGCTAAGTAGGGTATGGTTGAGTTTTTGTACTTGCTAGTGCGAGCATATATAGTTTTCTATATAGGCTTCTGGTTCTGCCTGATGAGATACAAGGGGAGAGTTGTGAGTGAAGAGGGTGGTGTGAGTTAGATAAAATGGATTTAGCCCATTTTTCACATGAGTCCATGTGAAAAAAAAGTTTGCACAGATGTGCAGAAGTTTGAGTTGCCACACTCCATTTAGCACACAAAGCAACAGAAAACAGTAAAGAGGGATTCAGAGGAGGGATAATAAACAGAAGTGTGAGTGGGAGAAAAAGAATAGTAATGTGGAGGAACAATGGAGTTTTATTGGGTATGATAAATCACAAAGAGTCAATGCATCTGCACTATTGAGAACGGTTTTAAGCCATATCACCAATTTTTCTCCAGCCTACATTTGTTCTTACCATCCCGAGGACCCCAACCAACCAGGAACCCAGTCTACACCTCGCTACGTGACTGGTTGGCTTAAACTAACAGTTGTGGATATCACTGACTGATGCCATGTTTTGGTTTGACCACCTCTAGCTCTTTTCCAGCCTGATCCATCCTATGCCAGCTAGCATTGCCCGTCGAGGAAGGCGATGGCTAGCTATGCTTGCTTAACACGCGTCCTAACCATCTCAATCGGTGTAACTCCACAACCTCGTGGATTGATTTCCCCTCCTTACCTAGCACTCGACTGAAGCCTAACCTCAATATTATACCACTTAACACGAAAGACAAACACAGACACCTATGATCAAAGACATCTTGCCAGCCTTTTCGGATCTTCCACTTTCAATGGCCATGTCTCACAGCCATAAAGGAGAACGAAGCGAACTACTGAGTAGTACACACGTCCTTTTGTCGAGAGCCACATATCACGTCTACGCCAGAGATGGCTTAAGTTGGCAGATGCCACACGAGCCTTTTATATCCGTGCTGAGGCGTAGTCAGCAATTAACCCATTGGGGTTGGCTGATGCAAATTCCTAAGTAAGTGAAGTGGTCAACACGGTCCACCAACCACTTCACTTTCTATCTTTAAGCTAGGAGTTAATGTAGTTCAGTCCTGTAGCATCATCTTACATTTGACAGGAACACGCGGATTGCATGCCAAACATTCGAAGACTGCTGCTCAAGGTGTTCAGTAGACTCTGCATTTTGTCAGTGTCTTCACCTAGAAGGACTATCTCATCCGTATATTCTAAGTCAAAGAGATTATTCCGTGGTAACAAGTCAATCCCTGAGTCGCTGAGGTCAGTTACGGTTAAATCCATTAGTACATCCATGATGAAATTAAACAGGAATGGGGATAGTGGGCATCCCTGATGGACACCATTGGTTTTAACCACTTCAGATGACAGCTCTCCGTAGCCTCTCACCTGGCTGGCTGCATGAGTTCGAGTAGAGTGCCTTGACCAATACAATGTATTTTCTTGGCATTTCCTACACGGGCAAACATTGCTATAATACCTCTCGGTCGACGGAATCGAATACTGCTTTCAGTTGAAGAAATATGAAGATTGTTGGACACCGGTAAGTATGTTTATGTTCCAGAATCTGGGGAAGGGTGAAGATATGATCGATACACCCTGTTCCTGGTCTAAAGCCTGTCTGGTTCTCTCGTGTTTGTTTCTTTTGAGTACCAATTAATCTACGCATGATTACTGAGCCTAATGAGTAGTAGCCTTATGTACTATACCAATAGCACCTTTTAGTTCCTTACAACTATGCGTATATACCCTATTGATATTAATCAGCTGCACGCTCAGTTCTAATCTGTTGTAAGTATGATGTCTTGCAATGTATTCTCAATCAGTAATCGGGTGGTGGTCATATTTAGTGATTATTTCCCTTTTGTTGGTTATATATCTCTTACGATAGGTTACAGAAGTATTATTATATTCAAGAGTTAGTTTGTAGGGATTTGATTTGTTTCATGTTTGATCGCAGATTGATATCAGTTAGAGAACCACTGGAAACTGAGGTGCGCTGGACAGTTGTTTCGTCCTAGGTTGGGACTCTTCAGTACGAGTCCATGATCCCACCAGAGATCGAATTCGGGAAGTTGGGGTTACTAGGCCAAGCTCGTTGACCACTCAGTCACTTTGATTAGCGATCTTACTGTTATCAGTTTTATTTTATACCTTATGGCTCTTTATTCTGCCAACATAGTAATTAAGATGTTCAATTGAGTTACGGTAATGTGAGTAACTTACGCTTGCCTCATTATCTTCGTTGTCTTACTGATGGCGTGCATCCGTTGACAAAATACTTTGAACTACTCACTAACTGTTTTAAGATTAATTTTGTATTTCCCGTTGATTGTGATTATGTCAAACCGAAATGCTCAGTCTCTGTTGACTTGTCGGCTCCTGGTACGAACACCTTGATGATGTCCTAGGATTCACGTGAAATTATTCCCGTTGATTGTGACTAGCAGTGGGTGCTCATTTCGTACTACTTGGGACTTGTTAGTTGAATGTACCTGCGTTTCCAGTGAATGAGGGTTCCGTGAAACTCGAATCATGCACTGATCGTTTCAAACACCAAAGCCTTATCTTAAGACATCGTTGAATGAAGTGTCCGTACTAGGAGTAGACATGTGCAATGTATTCAATTGGTGGTAAAGCCAGTTAACATAAAAACAAATAATAATAATAGATACCTGTTGCACAAGAAGTGACTCTCATCGCTCTAGTGGATAATACTTTGGTTTTCGGAACTATAGGTGCAGAGTTTGAGTCTCAGTGGGAACACCATCATTCATAGGGGATGCAAGTACATGCAGATGACTAGTCCGGAGGAGGAGGACGAAATGAGCATTCTGGATTCCGCTGCTAGTTGCTATCACCCGAAATAACTTCACCAATTATGTTTAAATGAACAGCCAACTATGAAATTGTTTTTGTTCCTCTTTGCATAGAATGAAGTGGTGTTTCACGAAATCCCCGATGGGAAATGTTCTTTTTTAATATGTTACGTATTAATCAACTGCTGACGTGATTTATTTGTCTAGTGTTTGATAATGAGAAGATTTTGTGTTTATAAGAAGGTTCAAAACTGTGTTTAGTTTCATTATTTCAGAGGAAGGCATGAATTTGTATCTATTTTTTATTCCTTCGCGCTCCAATTGGAAAATAGGGTTTCAGGCTCGAGTTTTGAAGTTTCAGTAGCATTAGTGATTCTTTTTACGGTTTCGGAGTTGTTAGTCTCACACCCAACCTTCCCTTTTTTACTGGTCTTGCTACCGGCTTAGCGAAGTTTAGAGGTGCGTCAGCTGGGGATCGAACTCCGGACGACGTGCGTGATTGGTGAGGCATTTATATCCAGCGGTTACATTTTTTTTAATCGTTTCCGTTTTGTTATCTTGAGATTTTCTTAAAAAAATGAATGTGTATTAATTGTCTTTTTCTTTTCTTTCTTGTCTCAGCCGCAGAGGATCTCGTACATCGCTCACTCTTTCATTATCTCCATCAATTGATTCACCTACTCCAAGCTGTTCTGTAGGCTCTGCACAATTCAGTGTATTCGGTGGAAGTTTAGACGAAGATGCATGCACAGCTGAAGTGTTATCTGAAGAGAATGAAACTGGAAACAATGCTGATTATTGTAATAATAGTGATGATGATAATATTGATAGTAATAATAATAATAATGGCGATGCTATTAAGCAATTCCCCTCCCGGTGTGGTTATTTACAATCATTAGATTCTTATTCCCCTTCTGCAATATCAACATCAAAACAAGCCGAATCCATGACAGTTTCACCGTTAACAAATACATCATCAAATGTATGTAATATTGGAACAATTTCTCAAGTCAATAATAGCGATGATGCTAATAATAATAATAATTTAACGAATAATAATGATACAACAACTATAACACAAATTGGATTTAATAAAAAAGGCAGATATTTAATGAATAATCGATGCAATTACATGTGTTATCATCATCATCACCATCATCATCATCGACACCATTTTCATCATTTCGCTATACATCATTGTAAATTAGATTCTGGTTTCCCATGTTCCCTAGGCAATTTAACATGTCAGCGTAATCGTGATTTAGAACAGCTGATCAATGCCAGTCTACCGTTAACTTATGACCAGTTGAAAACTAAGCTAAGGGATAATTCAACAGTATTGTTTCAAGAATTTTGGGCTATACCTATGAATTATGCAGATAAAAAAGAATTGCCTATTCCTGGAATCTGTCATAAAAATCGTTATCAGTCTATTTTACCAAGTGAGTGCTTTTTCTCTTATTATTATTATTGTTTCCTTTAATTCCCAGAGGAACATAGGGCTTCAGCCACACCTCTCCATTGCGTTCGGTTCTCTGCCAGAGTTTTCACCTGTCTCCAAGTCTGTCCACACGTTTTCACCTCCTCTTCACATGACTTCCTCCATATCACCCTCGCGCTGACGACCAACTCGCCACTTCCCTCTCGGGTTCCACTCGAGCAATGGCTTGTCTAGTGATGTCACTTGATGTTTTTCTCAGAGTATGGCCAATCCATCTCCATTTCTTCCTGCCTATTTGTTCCACAATCGGTTCCTGCTGGTTGGTTCGCTCATTGCCAGAGATCTCTGTTTCTGATCTTTTCTGGCCAGCCATCTGATCTTGAGTATTGAGCGAAGACAACTGTTAATGAAAGTCTGTAGTTTGTTTGAGATGCTTTTTATGACGCACTGGTCGAGTCTCTGATCCGTATAGTAGCACTGACTGACTTCACATTGGAGTTGAAAATCCGGATCTTATTTTTGATTCTGAGTGCTGTTGACCTCCACGCAGACTTGAGAGTAGTGAAAGCTTGTCTTGCTTTTCCGATTCTTTCTTTGATATCCTCGTCAGTTCCCCGCCTGTAGTTGAGACGATGCTTCCCAGGTAGGTAGGTAAAAGAGGTTGTTTCTTTCAGGTTCCTTCCATTTATGCTGATGGTTGTCTGTTGTTGTTGTTGCTGTTGGTGGTGTTGCCCGGGAATTTTCATCACCTCTGTTTTCTCAATGTTCACCTGAAGTCCTAACTTCTCTGGATGCTTCTTCTGTCAACTTGTTGCTTTTCACTTGCATATCTTCCAGTTTGTGGAAAATCAGACATGTATCATCGGCGAAGTCCAGATCCTCCAGGTTTTTTGTGTGAGTCCATTTTATGCCTGTTTCCTCATTCCTCGCTGTTTGTCGCATTATCCAATCTACTGGAATCAGAAAAATCATTGGCGATAGTAGCCAGCCAGCTTGTTTTACTCCTGTCCTCACTTCGAAGGATTCCGTGAGTTTCCCGTTGTGGATTACTTGGCATGCAGCATTGTCGTACAGCTGTTGGATGAGATGTATAATTGTCAGTGGCACCCAGTAGTAGCGAAGTAGTTACCAAATCACCTCTCGATCGATGCTGTCTGTCGAATGCCTTTTCAAAGTCGATGAAGTTGAGATAGAGAGGTGACTGCCATTCCAAGCTTTGTTCAATGATGATCCGTAATGTGGCGATCTGATCAATGCATGACTTGTTTCTCCTGAATCCAGCCTGTTCCGGTCGAAGTTCTTCATCCAGGGCATGTTTGATTCTTCTCTCTTACTTCTTTTTTTTAAGAAAAAAAACCCGAGTATTATTATTATTCCTTTGGGTTCTGAGTAGAACATAGTGCTCCCAGCGGCACATATCTCCATTTCAACCTGTTCTCTGCAGTCACCATGTTTGCCCATAAGCCCTCATCTCCTCCTTCCTTACATGATATCCTTTATGTCACCCTTAGACACCCAACTCGTCGTTTTCCATCCAGGTCCCACTTGGAAGTATGCCCTGTTGCGTGATATCACTCAAAGGTCTCCTCAGCATATGTCTAATCCATCTCCATTTCCTTCTGCATATTTTTTAGGCACTAGATTCTTAGTTTGTTGGTTCCCAAAGTTCCTTGACGGTAATCCTTTCTGGCCGTCTAATCTTCAGTATGGAGTGAAGGCAGATGTTGTGATGAAAGTCAGTAGAAAATGATTTTGATGACACACACACATTTTAAGTCTCTGAACCCCATATAGAAGCGTGGAATAACTAGACATTAGTGTTGAACATCTGGATCTTGTTTCTTATTCTAAGTGCAGTAGATTTCTACACTAATTCCATATTAGTTTGTTTATTAGATGTATCACACAGTCACAGAAACAGTATTAGTATTTACTGGATGACACAGTTTCGAACAAAATTCATCACTGTTCATAATCATGTGATCAATTATAATCACACGACTTCGAAACTTGAGTTTTATAGTTTTCTTTGTTCTCTCCTATTTGTCGTTCGTTGTTGGGGTAGTAGAATTTTCCAGATATCTGGGTGGACAGGTGTTGAATCATTCCTATTGAAGACACGTATTTGCAGTTGATTCGATAAACAAAGCTTCTGTTATCAATCTCTCCCTCCACCCTTTGACATTAGATTATGGAACTGTCATCTTATCGCATCCTATTGTATGGTTGTGTGTAATTGCATGTAGTGAGTGCTATAGCTGAACTATTCTCCAGATTTCTTATCTTAGTGTCGGGTCAACTAATCTAGATTTTGCTAGGTTTTTATGCTCGGCTAGTCTGACTGCCCCTGTTCTACTACTTTGACCTATGTATTTGACCTGACAATCATTCAAGTAGGGTATTAGATAAACTAAATTGTTTTGTTTTAACGGCTCCACAGGCTGGATCCTTTAACCGACAAAGCTTGTTTCTAATTGAGTTTGTGAGTTTGAATGCCAGCCACTTTTATTCCTACCTTGTTGAGAATTCTGCGTAAGGTTTCCGAGGTAGGAATTCCGAATCAACTGTAAATACGTGTAATTGGGATGATTCAACACCTGTCCCAGATATCTGGAAAATTCTACTACCCCTACGACGACAAATAGGAGAGAACAAAGAAAACTATAAAACTCAAGTTTCGAAGTCGTGTGATTATAATTGATCACATGATTATGAACAGTGATGAATTTTGTTCGAAACTGTGTCATCCAGTAAATACTAATACTGTTTCTGTGACTGTGTAATACATCTAATAAACAAACTAATATGGAATTCCTTACTACCACAGTGCCCAAGTTTTACACATATATTGATTTCTACACTAATTTCAGATTAATGATGGTCTGTCTTACTTTTTCGATCCTGGCTGCCTTTAAAATCCTCATCCTTACTGCTTTTGGTTGAAATAATACTGCCTAGGATAAGTATGAAAGAGCTGACTTCTTTGGAAAAGCCATAGTGTTTATATTATTTTTGTTGTTTATGTTAATTAATTTTCAAGTATTGGTTTTGTAGGGATTTTGTTAGATTGCATGGAGGATTTCATCATGAGCTGACATCAGTTAGAGAACCACTGGAAAACCTGGGAGGACTGGACAGTGGTTCTCTAACTGATGTCAGCTCATGATGAAATCCTCCATGCAATCAAACAAAATCCCTACAAAACCAATACTTGAAAATTAATCTGATGCTCACTAGTAACTGGCCCTATTCAGGCAGTTAACCTGGGGTTCTAGTGGGAAGCCGTGACCAGTAGGGTACAGCAGATTGAAGATGAGGACAGTTACTTATCGAAGAAGACATTGCGAAGTGGTCGCGCTATGTCATGAATTGGCAGAAGTTATGAGTTGGCCATTGGATCGGGTCCCAGTGGCTCAATGGTCTACGAGCTCGCCTTGTAACCAGAAGGTCCTGGGTTCGAATCCCGGTGGGTGCGTACTGATGAAGAGTCCCAAACTAGGACGAAACAGTTATCCAGTACTCCCAGGTTTTCCAGTGGTTCTCCAACTGATGTCAGCTCATGATGAAATCCTCCATGATATGTTAATTAACTCCTCTGTAATTCTATGAAAAGATATAGGTAATTTTTCACCTAATATATCTTCACATATACTGCCAAAATCTCATACTCAGATAATAGATCAGTGTAAATGTAATAGCAATAGAGATAGATCTCGGTAGAGTATTTTAAGGGTTGGTTCTACTGAATTGTGACAGTGGATTTATGAATCTAGTGCTTCAGTTCTTCAAAACTTCATCTAAGCCAACATTCATATGGTCAATAGACTTTTGAATTTGACTTCTGTCAGTACTACTGGTTTACTCTTTCTCTCTCTCTCTATCTCTTCTCTGAAATTTATTTATTCATTCAATTCGTGCTTATTAGGCTTCATTTCGTATGCCCCCGTGATCCTTAGTTATATCAAAGTTTGACGTCCAATTATGATTTGTGTATGAACACTGTTGTTTAACTCTACATTTTGCGTGTGTGTGTGTATGTGTGTGCGTGTGTGCTAGTTTGTGTTGGTAAGTTTATGCCTCTGTGTACATACTGTGTTATTAAACATATCATACTTACAGATATTGATCTGTAGTGATTTTTTGATTTACTTTATTTATTTACTTTTTTCTCGTTATTATAGCAAAACAAATTTGTAAATAAGGTAGCAAAATATGACTATCAAAAAGAAAAGATTCAATAAATAGTTTGTATAAAGTATTTGAATTGATCTCGTTGCGTACGTGTATCTGTCATCTGAAAGCAAAAAGGTTTAATCACACAATTGCTCTCCGTGTATACATCTATGTATTTATTAAAGGAGCCGATATGAAGTTTGTTAGATGATTGGAAGCATACATCGGTAGGCTTCCTGGCAATAATCCTTCCTGATTGATAGATGGTCAGTACACTGAAATGGTGATCTCTCTTGCATAACATAATGACATAACAAGCCACACTGGATGGAACAAATGTTTTTGCGGGTTAGATGGATGCCGGCTAAATTAAATTCAGTTACCTTTGTATAGGGTAAGTTGGTTACATCTATGGTAGGGGTTTGAATCTCTGAGGTCCTAGTCCTATCACTGGTAGCAATAAAAAAGTGCTCAGATATATAATCATATCAGCAGTTATGTATTTAAGCGTCGGTGGCACAGCGGTAGAGTGCTCGCCGACCACCCAGGTGGTCCGGGGTTCGATCCCCGGCCACCGACGCACTCCTTTACCTCACTAAACCAGTAGTAAGTCTAGTAAAGAGGGAAGGTTGGGCATGAGGCTAGCAACCCCATCCCGTAAAAATAAACACCACTGCTACAGAAACTTCGAGCCTCTAGCTTGAAGCCCTATGTTCCACTGAGAACGTAAAGCAGTTATGTATATACATATTTCCCAAGTAGGGAAGCTAAGCTAAACGGAAAAGCCTATTGAATATATCAATGGAGTTCTATGCCAGCGAACTGACA